ACCCCCCGGCGCCTCGTGCGCCGCCGAGCGACACGGAGCAGGCTGCTCAGGAGTCAGTGTGGGGTCCACCCAGTCCGGCTCCAGCCGCGAGTGGAGACGAGTGGACCGTCGTCCAGCGCCGACAGGGTGGTCGGCGCCCCCCGGCGCAGGGTAAGGCGCCACCCACCCCGCCCCGCCCCCGACCGTCTACGGCGGTGCAGGAGGCTCTGCGGCGGGGGGAGGAGGAGAGGAGGGCGCGTGAGGCGAGGAGGGCTCGCCTCGTCCAGAAGGCCCTCGAGGCTAAAGAAGCCTCGTCTGCCGACTCCGCCTCCGGGAGTGCCAACGCGGCCGCCGCCGCTGACACCCCGGAGACACCTGAGGCGGGGACTCGGCCCATCATGGGTCCCCCGCCGCCTCCTCCACCTCCGCAGCGGCGGCCACCACCGCCGCTGCCAGAGACGCCTGTGTCGAGGACACAGGCCGCCGCCTCGACATCTCCGTCGGGGCGGCAACAGTCCTCCGCGGCTCCAGGGCGCCTCGCCAAGCGGCAGACGCCCCCGAGCTGGTCGCCCTCGGAGGGTGACGCCCCTCGGGCGAAAAAGCCCCAGCAGGGCTCGAGCCACGCCCGATCTGCCTCCGCTGAAGGGAGGCTTCACCGAGAGGGCTCGGGGCACCCCCGCATCCGTTACGGGGGGAGCGCCTCCTCGGAGTTAGAGGACCTAGTCTAGTCTTTCAGTCTAGTCATTTCCTCTTTTATCCTTTTATCTTTTTCGCGCTATTGCGCTTTTTTACCAGGTGCATTTCTCTCGGTGTTTTTTACCTTTTTTGTGGTCAGTCAGGTATCTGCGTGCGCCTTTGCCTCATGTTATACGCGCCCTTTTTGCGCCTTTTTAACCACGCCTTTTATTCTACAGTGGAACTGTAGAGGCCTCCGGGCCAACTACCAGGACCTACAGTCTCTTATCCGTTGGCGCACACCCCTTGTTTTAGGTCTCCAGGAGACCAAGCTTGCGCCAAATGTCACCCTTGCCATCAAGGGCTACTCTGTTTTTAGGAGAGACCTGGACACCCCTACCATTGCCCATGGAGGTGTGCTTCTGGCGGTTCACCACAGCGTACCTGCGCGCCAGGTGCCGCTGCAGACTCCCCTGCAGGCGGTGGCCGCCAGAGTTGATTTCAACCACCGGGAACTGACTGTGTGCTCCTTATACCTTCCACCAGGTATAGCGCTCCCGGTGGTTGAGCTTCATCGACTTGTCGATGAGCTTCCACCTCCGGTCCTGGTAGTCGGCGATTTTAACGCCCATAGCCTGGCGTGGGGATGCGACACGACTGGCACTCGTGGTCGACTTTTAGAATCTTTTATCCGCGATGAGGCGCTGTGTATTTTAAATACAGGACAGCGCACCCATTTTACAACACCCTCCGGTCAAACATCGGCTCTGGACCTGAGCTTAGTCAGTCCGCGGCTAGCTCAGCTTTTTACCTGGTCCGTCCATGACGACCCACTCGGGAGCGACCACTTCCCAGTGTGGCTGGAGCACCAGGAGTCCCCAGTGTCGGGCAACCGTCCACCTAGGTGGAATGTTCGGAAAGCCGACTGGGGCGAATTCCAGGCCGCTGTAGAGGCCTCTGTTTTAGCCAGAGCCGACGCCTCTGTGATGTCTACAGAGGATTTTACATGTTTACTCAATGACTCCGCAAACGGGTGCATACCCAAGACGTCGAGTCAGCCTCGTCGTCCTCCGGTCCCGTGGTGGACCAAGGAATGCGGAGATGCGATTCGTGCCAGGAAGCGCGCTTTTAGAAAGTTTGACCGGAGTAGTACTACTGAGAACCTCATCGCTTTTAAGAGAGCGCGGGCTTTTGCCCGACGCGTTTTAAAGGAGGCAAAGGCTGTTTCATGGCGCACTTATGTAAGTTCCTTAAACCGTTTTACTCCTACGACCCAAATATGGGCACGCATGAAGCGCATTGAAGGCCGGTTCAGCTCTGTTCCGCTTCCGGTTTTAAGAGTGAACAACACGGACATATCTCACCCTTCAGACGTCGCAGAGACGATAGGTCGTGCACTCTATCAGCGCTGCCGAGGAGAGCCGTCCTCACGACCTGCACCAGCCGCCGTGGACTTCAGCACAGCTGAAAATTTGGTGTACAACGAGCCTTTCTCTATGGCTGAGCTCACGTCTGCCATCAGCTCGTTGCGCAGCGTCTCAGAAGGTCCGGATGCTGTCCACAACGACATGCTCCGTCATCTCCCAGCAGTTGCCCTCGAGGCGCTGCTAGCAACCTTCAATTCGCTTTGGGAGACTGGCACTTTCCCTGAGACCTGGCGGGAAGCCACTATCATTCCTATCTTGAAGGCTGGCAAGTCGGGACATGACCCTCTCCATTATCGGCCCATCTCTCTCACATCATCGCTATCAAAGCTGATGGAGAAGATGGTCAATGTGCGTTTTAGCTGGTTTCTGGAACATCATGGTGTTTTTACAAACGCCCAGTGCGGTTTTAGAAAGCACCGCAGCCCTGTTGACCACATTTTAGCCCTTGACACCGAGATACGCACCTGTTTTACTGAAAGGAAGCACCTTGGAGCACTGTTCTTTGATATTGAGGCGGCCTATGATACAGTCTTACGACACAGCATACTTTTCAAAGTGTATAAGTACGGCATACGCGGCCGGATGGGCCTCTTTATCGAGAACTTTTTATCGGGTCGTCGGTTTAAAGTCCGAGTCGGTAACCAGTTGTCTAGCAGTTTTATCCAAGAGAATGGAGTCCCTCAGGGAGGGGTGCTTAGTGTGGCGTTATTCGCAGTGGCGATTAACGATATCGCCGATGATCTCCCGGTCTCTATCGGCAGATCGCTTTTTGTTGACGATTTTGCCATCTGGTTCGCCGCTTCCAGCGCTCGGCACATGGCCAGACAACTGCAGCTTGCAGTCAGACGGCTTGAGAGATGGAGCCGTGACAATGGTCTCCGTTTTTCAACGAGGAAGACTGTTGCCATGCATTTCTGTCGCCGCCGCTGCGCCGACCCTACATTGGGTATCCGTCTGTACGGACAGACGATCCCCACGCAGCCGGTGGCGAAGTTTCTTGGTATGACGTTTGACGGACGTTTGACGTATAAAGAACATTTTAGAACGCTTCGGGAACGATGTTTTAAATCCCTGAACGTTTTAAAGTGTGTTGCCCGCACATCATACGGTGCGGATCGCAAAACTCTGCTCCTCTTGTACCGGTCGATCATCCGATCGAAGCTGGACTACGCGTGTTTTGTTTATGATTCTGCAAGTGAGTCCAGCAAGAAGTCCCTGGACGCAGTACATCACGCTGCGCTCCGCGTTGCCACCGGGGCTTTCCGCACTTCTCCAAAGAGTAGTCTTCTGGCTGAAACGAATGAGCCACCTCTAGCTATTCGTCGCCAGATGCTGGGGATGCGTTACACTTTGAAACTTCGCCAATACCCAACGCATCCGACGTACCCGTACGTCTTTTCACGTCACGCTACTCGATCTGACGGGAGGGTACGACCGTCGTTTGGAGAACGCATGGGAGGTCTTTTTTCAGCTGCTAACATATCCTTGCGTGGCGTTCGGCGTACCTGGGACACGCCCCCTCCACCCTGGAAAAACGCCAATCCGCAAGTGGACCTCTCACTATCGACTGTTAAGAAGGACAACTTGTTGCCTGCTGAGGCGCGAGCCAGAGCCTTAGAGCACATTGCCGTTTATGATGGTTTTATCACGGTTTATACAGACGGCTCGAAGACAACCGAGGGAGCGGGCTGCTCTTTTGTCGCTGGTCGTGACACCCGCTCGTTTTCTCTGCCACCTTCCGCCTCGGTGTTTTCTTCAGAGCTAGTCGCTATAGAGAAGGCTTTGTGTTTCATCGAGGTTTCTGGCAGTCCCTTTTACTTGATTTTATCTGATTCTCTTAGCAGCTTATTGGCCTTACGTACTTTTAACTCAGTTGACCCCATCGTGCGGGACATTTTAACTCGGCTTACGTCGGTGGAGCAATCTGGAAAATCAGTCCGTTTCTGCTGGATTCCCAGTCACGTCGGCATTGAAGGCAATGAACTTGCTGATGCTGCTGCCAGACGCGCCGCCGCAGCACCCTGCACTCGGCGCTTGCCTCTGCCTGCCCGGGATTTTTATCCGCTGGTGCGACCCTTCATGCTTTCAAAGTGGCAGGCAGAGTGGGATTTGTGTGTAAGGAACAAGCTGAGAGAGTTGAAACCAACTCTAGAGCCTTGGCAGTCTTGCCTGCAAGGCAATCGTTTCCAGGAAGTGGTCCTCTGCAGACTCCGTATTGGTCACACATACGCGACGCACAGCTATCTCCTTTCAGGAGGTGAGCAGCCTTTGTGCAACAGGTGTTCCGTGCCTCTAACCGTCGCTCACGTTCTTTTATCTTGCCCACTCTTTGAACGGAACCGGACACGCTACCTGGGCTGTATTGCTCCTGGTACCACTATCCGCCACCTACTGGGTGACGAGTCACCCTGGGTTTTATCCGGCAATATTTTTTCCTTTATCCGTTCGGTCAACTTCCAGGTGATTTACTCAACCTGACCCAATTCCTCTCTAGTCTACTTGTCTAGTCAGTTGACTGTTACGACGCTCTTGCGTTGTTCTATCTTACCTTGCCGTTTTTATCAAGTCTTTTACTTTCTTAGCCTTGGTATATAGAAGGTCTCTTGTTTTGAAACACTTGTTTTATTAGAGTGACGTTATGGGCGCAAAATGACCTTCGCAGTCGGCGCGCCCTAAAGCCCCAATAAACAAACAAACAAACTGCCTTCAATAACTCGCCACGATACAATCATGCGACATAACATGACGATGTTGCGATCCAGTACCAGTCACATGCAATACAGCACCACTAATCCTTACCAAACACGCCCAACCGAAATCAGATAAAAATACAAGTCACAGCACATCTTCACATCCACCACCAGACAATGCCACTATATCCCTCCCAACCACAGCGCCCCTCTCTCCGCGTGTACTCACGTCCTGAAGCATGGGTCGCCACTGAGCAGCGTGGTGGACAGCACCACCTTCAACATGCTGTTGTCCTGCCGGTGTCGCAGGTCGTACCCCTGCAGCAGGTAGCGCCGACACTGACCCACGCCGCCAGCAAACTCAGCCAGGTCGATATCGGCGAAACCGAGCTTCTGGTACGAGCGGCCGCCCTTGGCCTCCTGTGGAGAGAAGAGGACGGGTCAGATGTGGAACGACGGGTCCAGTTGGGGGAGGACGGGTCAGAAGAGAAACCAGTTAGCAGGAGGTCTGGTGACAATGGGTCAGCTAGGAAGGACGGAGACGTCTGGTCTGCTCCTGACCCGTACGCATGGGATTTCAAACAACCGAAATAGCCCGATCTATTGCTTGCTGACATTTTATCAGAGACAGCAGCGATACATCAATATCATTTGGCGCCTGTAGCCGATATGTTACGGCCCAGAACACTATGTGACAGCGATGGGAACACAGACCATGAGAACAACCGCCTGAGCTGCGTGCGATCGGCTTTTCTGGCGTAACGACAGCTGGCCCGTTCTCGGAGAGCCATGGTCGGAGAGGCGCCTAACCTTGAACTGTCCGTCGAGACGCATTGATTTCCCACGCCCACTGCAGCCAAATCCGTCCAGCATGCTGCTGGTTTACCTGCACAACTCCGGAGAAAGTGAACGCAGAGGTCAGGTCTGTCGGCCAGCTTTGATCGACATCTGCTAACAGGTGACTCAAGGCCCCGCGCACGTCCGCCGCCGATGGCAGCGTTATTAAATTCTCAGAGCCGCGCGTCGCGTTATTAAATTATGTATATGAGCACTACCAAGAACAAATAAGGCTGATATTTCAGCCCCGACGACTGGCAAATTAGTCCGTCAGGATAATGTAACGCTGCAATGTAATCACGCCAAGGCTCTAATGATCACCCCAGTTGTCAGACACGCGGCTGTTACACTGTAACTCCAACCCGGTGAGCCGAGCTCAGCCCAGTCTTTTTCCCCTTCAACAGATACTTGTCTAACGAGCACCAGCCCGGTGCGTGCCATCCGACCCCAGTAGCGCGCCATCCGTGTCGAGGGCAAGCCGTCCTCCAATTAATCCATCCGCCCCCTCCCTCAGGTGTGCTTAGAAACGGACGTGGAGCAGTTTGGGCCAGGGTAAACGGACTCGCTTACAAGACCGTCCCAGCAGGGAGCCTTCGAAAACGCGCCGTGGCAGTCGGTCGTTTCCCGAACTGTTCCCAAGGTGAGCGTTCGGCCTGTTTAGACTACCGTCGCCAAGCGTACACCGACAGCGCCAGTTTAGACACAGGGAGAGTTTGGACTGGTGAGGAAGTTGAACACCTGAGCTTGAGCAGCTCCCGGAGATGCAACTACGTAAAGCGGCTACGGGAACTGAGCAACTGCGCATGATCCACTTCAGAACTAGGCGAGTGAGTTTGGGTCGCTTCTAGAGCGGGCTGTAGGTGCGGATTTCGACAACTGAGTCGTGGAGGAGGGCTGGAGGGGGGGGGGGTCGGCCTGCCAGGAGGGAGCGTCCCGGCGGCGCCAGTGTCGTCGCTAGGGACCAGGACAATGGTCCAAACAATAGACCGAACTGGCGGCGGAACGCGGCTGAAGCAGGGTCACGCGTGAATGGTTCCGCCGACCGGGGCGGACTCACAGTCGGGGGCGCTCGCCGGCGCCGGGCGGAGGTCGCTCGGATGACCTCGGCCCCGGCCGAGACCTGGCCGGCCGCCGCCGCTCGGCCTTCCCCCTGTGACGTCACGACGCTCCGCTACACGGTGGCGTGCAGGGAACAGTCGCGTGCCGCCTTATCGCTGGCCGACGCCATACCCGACACCCGCCGCTCCCAGTTCAGCGATACCAGCTCCCATCGACGATCCAGAATGGCGATTTTTCTCGCAGCTGTTTACCCCGACTGTGCAGCCAATTGAAAGAATCGGCGCCGCTTGCAGCCGGGCCGCACGCCAGGTTGGACCGGCCCGGCGCCGGCGAGCGGGGAGTCCAGCCGGTCTCGTGCCCGTCCAGCCAGCGGTCACTCGCCATTGGCGCTCACAGGTTTCCTCAGAGGCTCGTGCAAGTCGGCGACCTTGCCTGTCGGGCTGAGTCGCGCCGCACCGGACCGGGCCGGCCCCAGTTGCGTAACACGTTGTCCCTGCACACTGCACCTTGCAGGTTCATAACCCCACCATGGCAAGACGCCGTCAGACTGGAAACGCAAAGTCCCAGCTGTGTAATTCTCGGATTCTGCAGTAACCAGCTGCCAAAAGACCGCTCCGACGACTTCCCTCCCTTTCCCCGTCCCACCTGGACCAGACCACTGTCGACCTGTCCGACACAGAGAGGGTACCGCTGATTAACAGGCACCAGCCGCCGACAACTTCGGAAAACATCACACAGCTCGCGGAAGACCTCTCTCGGTGCGAGCAGCTCGGGGAAAAGGTCGCCATGGTATTACCATCTCGGCCACATCAGAGAGACTGGTTTATTGCCAGATCACCATTCGTGGAAGGAAGACTGTGGTAACGATCAATACTAACCGGCTAGTGAAATTTCCCAACGCCAGTCAGCATGAGCGGGTGACGGTCCCTAATGCCGTCACGATCCCACATCACCACGCGTCGGCACGTTGTCATCGTACCGGATCACGTCACGCTGTCATCGCGTCACGTCACGTTGCCATCACGTCACGTCACAGCTGACCACCGGTCATCATCAGTCAGAGACGTCGGACGGTGAGACGCACGATGGGCACGCACACCTTTCGCCGACCGTGCAGTGATGTCATGCCGCGCACTCGGCCCTACGTCATCGCTGTCATCGGGATACAAAGGGTAACCGCTGACGATGTCACGGGAGTGTTGTCGGACTAGGGTGCATACTGCATGGGCTCTTGGGCCTACAGCATCCAGGGGACTTACTCTAGGACTTATTGAGCCACCTTCGTCGCCGGTTCGTGGTTCGTGTTGGTTTCGGCGATTGATCGGCAGTCGTCTGTCGCGGCGAGCGCCCAGACGAGAGAGCGGATGTCGGGTGAAGGGCCGCCCGAGCCCGTCTCCGCTCTCCGGGACCCAGGGTAACGGATGGTGCCTCTCAGACAGATTGGGAGAACGTAAAACAGATGCCGCCGCCGGCGCGACTCTCTCTCGGAATGACAGAACAATGAAAACAATGCCAGTTACGCATTGTCACGGGATTGCACCCGTCACTCTCAGGTTTGTAAGTAAGCTGGCGATGAGTTGTACACTCAACAAATGAGCTGACAGGCTGATAAATGAATCTGGATCATCACTGACGACAGTTGCCAAATAGTGCCGACAGATTCTCTCACGATATTAGTTATCACATGTGGTAAATTCCTGTGAGCACTGGTGATGACGTCAGCAGGAGCGGCACTGACGTTAATGACGTGAGGGCGGCACGTCGGAAATGGCGAGATGCGATAACACGGCTCGCTCGATACTGATAACGAAAACAGGACGGCTGCTCAAGCAGGTGGAGATGCTGGAGCAGGCCGTCACCAGGTTATCAGAAATCGTGGTAAGGGGATTTCGTTTCCGTGGCACGAATGAGAAAAATATCTTAAATGCTGATGCTGTCAGTCAAGCGCTAGAACTTAAATATCACACACCTCATACATATCTGATAGCTTATGGGACTTCACCCACACATTATCGCATCAGCGCAGCTCGAATACCAGCGCGCCCTTGCGATTCGCGCACTTCTCGCGTTCGCCCGCACTAAAGCTCCCACATTCCGCTCAGCCTACGTCACACACTCACGTCATAAGCGACGCCGCCTCCTCACGGTCACGGCTATTCCGGCGCCCAATGCGGCCCGGGGCGGCCCGGGCGAATCTCCACTGTGGTGGCTCAGCGCAGCTTGGTGCCGCTGGGGGTCGCCGGCCTTCCCACGACGGTAAGCCGCCGTCGAAGGTCGACCATAGATGAGGCGACGCCTTGGAGAGACGAGCGAAGACGAAAGAGGAGCCAATATGGCGGAGCGACGAGCTAATTGGGAGACGAACTGTCATCTCTTTTTATAAAGACACCAAAGTTACTGGTAAATGAGTGAACTCGATGGAAGGACGAGCTAGCAAATCGAAAACTGAACAGCGTCTCCAAATAAAAGGCTGCACGACAGAGCTAAAGTTTCTTTGGGATAAACTCATAAGGTTTGAAAAGAGTTAAACTATGCAAGCAAGAGTCGAGGACCTAAAGAGTTCTTGAAGTGAGCCATGGTGTTAGGGAGACGACCAGACAGCTCGGAAGAAACAAATACTAAAGGCGAACAACCTAAGAAGAGCCCTGACGATAAGATGAGGCGAAACCGGCTGATGATAAATTGAAGACCATCAGCCCCTGGGAGGCTGCAAGAGCGAAATGTCTCTGGCGGACGCAGCACAGCCGTCTGTCGTCACAGACCATATGAGACGGAAACGAGCCGGCTGGAATGGGAAACGAGACGAAAACAAGCTACGACGGACCTACTGATGGAGAGGCACGGCTCACGACAGACAGCCGGTACGTATGGTCCAATAACGAGAGCTTCAGCGGGAACTGAATTATTGGTTCTAGTCCGGACAGGGAATTTCAGTTATCGGAAGGAGGCAATTTGCTATCCAACGTTCTCCCGCCATACCTCTTCATGACAGAATTGAAGGGACATCAGTTTGCTAGGCGGGTGGGTAAAATATGGCCGAATTAATAAACGCCGACATCGTGATGACAATCGAACCTCAAGAGAACTGCACCTGGTTCCCTCCCAGCTCGATCAACGGTCAATACTCCCCATGAGCGGCGGTAAGGTTCAAGATTATGAGCTCATCGATCTAATCAAAGACGAGCGTTCACGGGAAGACCGATAGCCAGACGAAGGACAAGATCATTCGCCGACAAAGTGGGCCATTGTTCTAGAGTGACCTTGCGGCCGGCTCTCAAAGAAATGACGTGGCGAACTTTGACTGCAGATGAACGCTCACACATCTAAGCTCAGGCCATTCCACTCCACGCATTACGATTAATCCGAACTCAACAAGATCACCGTTGTGCGGCAAACAGCCGTTCTAAGAGAGCTTTGGGCAGGGGTCAGGTCAAACACGCCTTTCGCCCCAGGTGACTATGCGCACTTCCCCGACAGTTTTAAGCCTATCAACCGGCCAGGACGGGAGAACCGAACTACAGCAG